CAGCGAACTATGTCTGCGTCCGTTGACAGCGAGTGACAGCGAACTATGTCTGCGTCCGTTGACAGCGAGTGACAGCGAACTATGTCTGCGTTCGTTGACAACGAGTGACAGCGAACTATGTCTGCGTCCGTTGACAGCGAACTATGTCTGCGTCCGTTGACAGCGAGTGACAGCGAAGAATGTCTGCGTCCGTTGACAGCGAGTGACAGCGAGTGACAGCGAACTATGTCTGCGTCCGTTGACAGCGAGCGGCAGCTCATTTCACTTCTGAACGCCCTCATTGTTGAATGGCGTTGTCCGTAATTTCAGCGCCCATCACATATCTCACATGTCTCGCATAGTTTCGACCCAAGGTGAGAAAGGCAAAGATTTCAGGTATGCCCCCCCCCACTCACCACGCACGCTCCCTCCCCCCCCCCACCCAGGCATTTTCAAATGACTGAGAAATGCATTAAGTCTGTCAAAGCCTGGGTGTTAAAAAGTTTCTCATTTTCTCCCAACTTGACAGACGGGTCAATTTGTGACAAGTGAATGTGACTGTTTGCATTGCCAGACGCATTCAAGTCAATGAAAACGATGATGGAGCGCAGCCAGAACAGGAATGGTCCACGACAGATCGTCTCTGTGTCGAGCCCATCTAGGTATACACAATTAACGTATCGAAGCTGTCGCCTTTACGTCGTGACCGTAGGACTCTGAACATATCCTGGGGGGGGGGGGGGGAAGGGGGGTTGCGTCTGTCATGATATATGAAAAGTTCCCCTAACAATTTTAGTCTGGCTTCGAAACTTGATGAGGGTATTGAATATCGATCTTCGTGCCTTGACTCAGACACAACGCGGCCTCTTTTAAGACGGCGAAAAAAAAAGAGTGGGGGGGGGGGGCGGGGAGGAGAGCGGGGAAAAATAGATACACTGGGTGTCATTACCTTTTTGAACATCATCATCATTTCTAGCTACACACCTAGAACAAGATGTCGACAATCCGGACTAATGAATTGTGTTAGACTCCGTCGTGACTCATCCGGGTATTCCAATGCCGTAGAGCGAATGGAATCTTAAATTCGGTAAAATTAAAAAAATCTAAAAAAATCAAGACACCTTGCAATAATGATCTTATTGGAAAACTAGAAGGTAACATAAGAAGAAGAGGGGAAAAAACTACTCTAGCCCAAACCTACGAAGTATGCCTATAAAAACAAGTCTATTGCAAATTTGCAACGTAGCTATAGCACGCGAAACAATGGTGGCGGCAATGCGTGAACTTCCCATGTACTAAAGTCACTTGACGAAACAAGCATTCAAGTAACGCACATTATGAGAATCCCAATTATTGCTACTACTTCCGTAAAACCAAAGAAAAATGTTACGCACCAAATTCACTCGTGGTACTATAAGAATATCATTTAGCGCAGTTATCGGGAATTATATTTTGGACGCCACTGAACACACCATTGGTCCATACTTTCTTTCCTGCATAGAGAATACTCTTGTTTGATTAATGAAACTTAAATTTTGTGAGATATTTGTTAGGCACACCCTAAAATAAAAAGAACATATCTTAAAACGAATTTGAGAAAATTGCAATTTTAAATCAGCCTTCAAAACTTAGAAAACGCCTGGGTTAAATTCTTCATATCCCACCAATATGACCCCCCCCCCCACACACACACACACACACAAACATGCCAATAACCTATGTCAGTTTCCATGTCAAGTGTCCGCTATCCGAGATTACCGCATAACAAGACATCTCATTTTTTTTTTAAGAATGCACCACATGCTGGATATGTGACGTGAAGTGATTCTAATCATGCCCTAGACATGCGGTGGAGTGCTGCGACGGCTCCGGATACTGGATATGCGACGTGAAGCGATGTCGAATCATGCGCTAGGCATGCGGTGCAGAGCTGCGACGCAATGCAAACATATCGGGGGGGGGGGGGGGGGGGGCA